AGTATTCCATGGTATAGATAAACCACATCTTCTTGATCCATTCATCTGTTGATGGACACTTAGGCTCTTTCCATGTTTTAGCTATTGTGGAGAGTGCTGCTATGAACATTGGGGGTACATGTGCTCCTATGCATCAGCATTTCTGTATCCCTTGGGTAAATTCCTAGCAGTGCTATTGCTGGGTCATAAGGGAGTTCTATTGTTAGTTTCCTGAGGAACCTCCACACTGTTTTCCAAAGGGGCTGTACCAACTGGTACTGCCTCTTAACAAGAAGAATAAATTTACTGTCTGTTGGGTAAAATAGTCTTTCTTTAATTTGTTGTAAAAATGTTTTCTTCAAATTTTCCGAGGTTATAACATAATAGCAACATTGCACCTGGGTGGCTTAGTCGGGGCGCCTGGGTGGCTTAGTTGGTTAAGTGTCCGACTTTCGCTTAGGTCAGGATCTCGCGGTTCGTGGGTTCGGGCCCCGCGTCGGGCTCTGTGCTGACTGCCAGCTCAGAGCCTGGAGCCTGTTTCAGAGTCTGTGTCTCCCTCTCTCTCTGACCCTCCCCTGTTCACACTGTCTCTCTCTCTCTCTCCTAGAAATAAATAAAAATATTAAAAAAAAAAAAAAGCAGTGTCTTCCCTTCATTACATTGTTTTTTAATGATTCTTTCATGGTTTCAGGAAGGTGATGTCTGGCCTAACTCATCAGCTGAAATCATTGTGTACTTTAATCCTCTGGAAGCCAAGCTCTATCAGCAGACAGTTTACTGTGACATTTCAGGTAAAGACTTTCTCTGTGTGGTAAACTCAGGTTACCAAGTGCCCAGAGCTCAAGTAGGGTGTGTGTGTGTGTGTGTGTGTGTGTGTGTGTGTGTGTTAGGATTATAGGAAGTGCATGATATCAATAGGGAAATAACAGAGTCAAGCTGTGGACTTCTTTTCTTTCTAGAACAGATCAAACTTTGAAGTACATTACAGTTATGGTGTAGTGAGGGAGGGGGGTTGAGAAACCACCGAGTTGGGTTTACCCTTTATTTTTAGAGCAATAAGAATATTACTTGACACAAATCCTCAGAATTTGATTTTTATTCTTTTTATGGTATTTGGCTTTTGAAATTTTTCCTTTTTGATATTTTAATCAAAATAATGCATGACAGGGAGGATGGGAAGACAGCCTGGCAGTGGCTAGAAGCCACAAGGAGTATGTACAAATAGAGTGGTAAACTGATAGCTTTGGAAGATTGTTTACAGGTAGAGGAATTAAACAAAAAAGTAAATATATTGAGGATAACAAAATCAGTATTTTTCACTCTTCAAGGAGGCAAATAGACAGATATGTATGTATGGAAAGGAGAAAGGCTAAGATGAGGTTTTGGTAATGAAATAGAATTGGAGTTCCATCACTATGAACTCATGGTTGTTGATATACATAGAGATAGAAATAAATATATGTATAAATATGTACATATGTTTATGTACATACAGATACATATTTCCTAACTGTGTCCATTTAAAAATCCTGGCAGCTTTAAAACCCTAACTGCAATGAGCACACTGAGTACCCAAAGTTTGGTTTCTGACTCCTACCCTCTGCTATGAGGGCCTTTTTCCAGGACTGAGGCAGAGAAAGAAGATGAGTTGGGAACATTCCTTTCCTGCTGGAAACTAAGGAAATGTTGAAAGTATGACAGGGATATGTCAAAGTGATACAGAAGTCAGCAAAGGGACTCCCACTGAGCAAATCTGAAACAAATTAAGAATAAAAATAAATAATGATAACTAATAGATCACAATCCATTGATTAAATAGTAATCTACGGATCCACTAAATAAAAATTGACCATTTAGCAATTATGGTAATAACAAATTCAGGTAAAAAGCATTCTGAAGATTTAATGGATCCTAAAATAATGGGTGAAAGCAGGGTATAGAACATGATTTTATATAGTCTCAAATATCCTACCTCAAAATGCTTATTAATTATAAAAAGGAGAAGTATAACTTTACAATGAAGAAAATTGGGAGATGTTATCTTAGTTAATACCAGTAGTAATATGGCAAATCAACCTCATGGACTGCTCACTTGGATGCAATGAAAACAAACATCTCTTCAATGATATTAGGGTCAAAATATCTAATATGGAACTTATTATGGGGAAAAATTAGGTTAACCCAAATTGAAGAACAAAACAAAATTAGCATCTTGTAATCTTCAAAAATATCTAGCTTATGAAAGTCAAGGAAAGACTGAACTGTTCCAGATTGTGTGACACTCAAGAGACATGAGATCTGGATGTAACATGTGAGCCTGGACTGGATCCTTTGCTATAGAGGAGATTATTGGGTAAAGGAAGTATGGAGGCTCTTCATACTCTTCCAGAAGGTGTTCTGTATTTTTAAAGTGTCTCAGAATTCTCTTTAAAAATACTGATGCCAATAAATAAGTAAAACAGGTAGATTATAAGATTATAAAGCTAAACAGTAGTCTACTTCTCCATTGTTACTTTCAAGACGAAGCACTTTTGGCTGTTTCTTGTGGTGGTAATTTTCCTTACTAATTCTATGCTTATACTGCTGTTTTGTTGATTTACCAACATCACACATTACCTTTTGAGTTCCCCCTATGAAAGATGAGGATTTACTTCACTTATAATCTCATTGCCCCCTTGCTGGCCTTACTGAGTTATAATTTATATGCAGTGTGGGGTGCCTGGATGGCTCAGGTGGTTAAGCCACTGCGTGGCTCAGTATGGGGTGCCTGGCTCTTGATTTTGGCTCAGGTCATGATCTCACAGTTTGTGGGTTCAAGCCCTCCAACCATTCCTGCACTGACAATGTGGATCCTGCTTGGAATTCTCTCTTTCCCTCTCTCTGTCCCTAAATTACTCTCTCAAAATAAATGAATATACTTTAAAAAAAATGTTCCTTTTAAAAATAATAATTTACATGCAGTGTATTTCACCCTTTTTTTATGTATAGTTCTGCAAACCTTGACAACCTCAACAGTCATATAACTGCCACCAAGAGGCTGCTTCTGGGAATTCCCACCCCCCCACACACACCTCCCACCCCAGGGCCAGACTCAGCAACCCCTGGCCTGGAATCATACCTGCACTCACCCTTGGGGAGGTGGGGCACCAAACCTGAGGGCAGGAGGGGCTGGCCCTGGGAGGGGAGGGGAGACCCTCTAGTCCAGGTCTGAAAGTCATGAAAAATGTGGAAGACCAGAGGGACTAGCCTCTTTATCAAGAAGGCTCCACAGCTCCATCTGTCACACCAGAAAGTTCCTTCCTGCCACATTACAGGCTATCTTATTCCTCCACCTCAGCCCCTGGCAACTCAATTATTTTTATTTTCTTTTTTGAGTTTTATTTGTAACCTTAAATAATATACTTAAAACTATATTTTTGTTCCATCAACTGTACAGTCTCTCTTTGACATGTATGGGCATTGGGACCCCTAACCTGCCCACCACCATTCTACCCTCTCAAATTTAATGAGTTGTTCTACTTTTGTATTAAAATGATTGGTTACCATATTTAAGTCCTCTATTTTATCTACATAAATTCTGTACACTGAAAGACCACGTTTATCCTGGGATTAAATTTTTTTAATCCTCTGATGGTGAATGTTCTGACCTCTGGTGGTGAATATTAATCATGCAAAGAATATCCCTATGGTGTGTAGCAGGTAGTTTTTCTTTCTTCACTGTCCATCAGGTCTCAGAATTATGCCTCATGGTAGCTTACTTCATCATTGAATTGACTCTTTTGTGCAGCTTTTGGGGCTCCCCCCCACTGATGTTTCTCATTCTTCATTTCTTCCATCCTATCTAATTTTAGAATCTATGCTCTTCTTTTCCTTGAAGACATTTTTCTCAGAGCCCACAAGCTTCTCATTCCAAGTCAGATCAGCCACCTCCTGCAAAGCTGTTACCAGGGAATTTTTAAAATTTCCATTATATTTTTTTACTCTCACTTTGCTCATGTAGCTTCCACAGAAAGGGTATATAGAAGAGAAACTTTGATCCCTGCACGCCTGATAATGTCTCATTCTGCCTCCATGCTCACCTGATAGTTTAGCTGACACTTTTAGGTTAAAATTTTTTTTCCTCAGAATATTGAAGACATTGTGCCAACTTTATGGTAGAAGTCTGGGAGTCTGAAGTCATTCCTTGCTAGGTGGCCTATTAAATCTCTCTCAATATTTTCTAGGCTTTTCTTTTTGTACTTGAGCCAAGTCTAAGGGTGAGGTTCTAATTTATCCTCCTCAGCTTTCTATGGGTCATTTGAGTCTGATTACTCATGTGTTACTTCAGCTCTGGGAAATTGTATTATTTTTTACATACTTTCCTCCAATATACTTCATTTTGTTCTTCTTGAGGTCTTAACAGTCCAGTGTTAAACCTATAGGATTGATCATCTGTTGTCAAAGAACCAGATTTTAATCAAACACGAGTAATGAATGACATTAAATGCCATCCAATGCTATTAAATAAAGATGCAAAGAGAAGTATTTATTTGTCAGAAAATTCCAAGGTAGCAAATATCAGGCAGTCATAGAGTTCCTTCCAATGCCTTCTGATCTGTGGTTGTCTATTTGTATATAAGAATGAGAAAATGGGTTTAATTTTTAGCGTAATTAGTGCTATTTACTTCTGCTGTTTAATGTGTAGGTCTCCCAGGATTTCCAGCTGTGTTGGTTATTTTAGTAATAAAATATTAAATGATGAGAGAGACAGTAATAAGAGTGCACAGTTGCTAGTAGCTTCAAGCGCAAAAATCCCACTATTCTGCTCTACCTACCATGTTTTTAGTCCATATCTACACAGCCACTTTTCTCTGTATATAAAGAAGTCAAGTAGTCTAAGAACAGTGAGAAGGATAGGCTCCCTAAGCCGAGACTGTGGTGCCCTCCCCCTCCCTTGGCTGTATATGTCCCTTCCTGATGATATTTCCCCATTCTCCCTGGAATTAACCATCACTTCAACTTGTATGATTGTGATTTTTTTTTTGTTTTCACATATAAGTTTACTATCAATGTATTCATGTCTAAGCAAAATAGGTTTGCTCATTTAAAAAATTTATGTATTGAAATTATATTCTATGTTGTATGCTGTTAGCACCAGGAAGATAAAGCCACTCAATAAATATTGATTACATGAAATGGGCAAATAAATGAAAAAAGTAAATGAAATGAATGAATGAATCCTGGTTTGATCCGGTCTTTCCCTTGCTCACGAATACAGGATTCTCAAGATTGCCCCAGAATGGATGCAGAATGGACTAGGGGTTTCAGGATCTACATAAATCCATTTCTATACTTCATACCAGCATCATTTGCCCCAGACTTCTTAATGGGTCCGGAGGAAATGCTGGTACATCAGTGTTCAGACATAGACTGGAAATGCTCCAGTGGCCCCCAGGCCACAGGTGGTAGAACCTCCCTCCCATCCTTGACTCTCGTGGGACGTCGTGTTTGGCCATGGTCCAGGGGGTTGGCTGCTCTCCAGGAGGTTCCCAAACATTACATAACTAGCTGTGTTCATCTATTGTTGTGTTTGCAGTTCTGAATTCTGCCACAGAATTCACATCCTGGATAAACTGAATAGTATAATTTTCCATCTGCATGACATTCTTCTTTATTCTGATAGTGGTTTATTAAAAGACATGATTGCCAGAGAAGGGTTTTGTTTACATTGTAATTCCATATTATCTTCCTTGCAAATTCCATGTAATTCTGTGTGCTTTTTCAAGGGCTGGTGATGATTCCTTAGTATTAT